TCTAACTACAAGAAGTTTAAGAAAAAGAAGCACGCTGAATTATATGATCATTCATCTTTAAAGACATTGTTGGACATACGTTAGATACACTAGAAAATAACATCCATTCACATTTTGAAACGTTTAAAGTGACAAAATTTGTTTCACACCAAGCCAGAACCTTCTCTATGCACGCTTGTACCTTGTCTGGATCTGCTAAACAAAGAAGATTAACTGCAAAGGCCGAGGGCAGCGAACAGGAAATTGAACTTTGAGGTAAGTCATTAATGAAGATTAAAGATAGGGCTAAGAATACTCCCTTGAGGCACTCCAGAAACAACAGGGACTGAAGCAGAATGAGCAGATCCCACTGTTACTATCTGGGTACGGTCAGACAGATATGACTTGAACTAGTCAAGTAGAGGACCAGAAATACCGGCTAAAGAAAGTTTTCTCAGTAGAATTTCGTGTGGTACACGGTCGAATGCTTTTTCGAAATCGAAAGAAATGCTAACTACTTTTTGGCGATTATTTAAACATTTATAGATTGTAACTGTGACGAAACACCGATCGAAGGGGGGATGTGAGCGTTGTATTCGATTCAAAGTCACGAAATGTCCTTCGTAAATATAAGTTTCTAAAGTCAACGGACCGAGCGAGCGCAGACGAGCGTTACCCTGTTGTGTTTCTCTCTTGTGTATAAAAGAATTTTCTATTTTTCTCTCTTTTGATTCGCGTATCCATGGAATATCTAACAGCCATTTTTCCATATTTTGCGCTCAGACAGTAACAGCACGTAACTTCAGCAGTTGTTGACAGCTAGATATACAAAAGGCCAATATGGCTGCCCTAATCAATAGAAGAGTGTGTAGACGTCCATATTTTCTCTTTTTTACGTGGACAAAATCAATGCTGGGACAGGACAATGGGACAAAAAAGGGTTGAGAATTCTCATTCTCGACCATTCTGTTCATCTTCTCGAGCACTAAGGGATAAAATAAAAGATGAGACAATGGAATAAATTCGGTGAGAATTCTCATGTCCCTGACAGCTGTAAATAGTGGCGGCGCTAGGGCAGGGCTAGGGTCGGCTGAGCCCAACTATCCAAAAATTTGAAAACAGAGTACTCACGAACAATAGTCACGTAAAAATTCTGAACGGATTTTTGAAAAATTATGGGCTGAGCCCAGGCACCCGAAAAATCCTGGCGCCCCCGCTAGCTGTAAATGCGCAAAAAATTCTGTGATAAACAAATGTCCCTGTAAAAAGAGAAATACTTTTTGTGATTCTAAAGGAAAAATTTCAAGTTGTATGAATTGTTAATAATAAAAAACATGGTAACACACTAGTTTCAGATAAAGTGAACGAGAAACAATCATTCACTACATGTTTAAAACACAATTTTACACTAACAAAACGTTAAATTCAGATCATTCAACAATAATTAAATGCCCAGTTCATTTTAAGCTGAATAAATGAGAATTTTTGCTTACTACTCTCCAGTGCTTGACAGTAACGCTGTTCTAATAAAGTTATAACTATCCTAATAATGGACACCACACACAAACCACTCATTATTCTCCATGAGAATTCTCATATCAAAATGTCCCGTATCCATACATTGAAATGAATAGTTATTAGCAAACTAATGGTAAATGCTATTCGATATGAACTTATTTTAATCTGTGTATATGACATCCTAGTCGAGACTCCCAGCAAAACTCTCACAGGACTCCTGTCAGGGGGTCCTGCAGGAGTCAGATGGGACTTTCAAAGGATTTCTCAGGACTCCTGTGGAAGTTTCGAGTCCTGCGGGAGTCCAACAAAAGGGCTCAGAATCTTCAAAGTCCCCGGGAGTCCTGCGAAATCCCTTGAAAGTCTCACCTGACTCCCGCAGGACCCCTGACAGGAGTCCCGTGGGAGTTTTGCTGGGAGTCTCGACTAGGGCAGAGTATAACCTAGTCGAGACTCCCGACAGAACTTTCACAGGACTCCTGTCACGGAGTCGGGTGGGACTTTCAAGGGACTCCTAAGGATTCCTGAGGGCTCGCTCGAATCCAAAGTCCTCAAAGTCCCACGTGAATCCTCAGAAGTCCCCTGAAAGGTCCACGGGTCCCCCTGACAGAAGTCCCGTGGGAGTTTTGTCGGGAGTCTCGACTAGGGTAACGCTTTATCAGTAGCACAACAAAGCGTATATTAACACGGAATATAAAATTTAAGAACATTCTAAACTTCTATCAATCTATACTTGTCTATTGGAAATTGGAATTGCAATCTAGTCTGAATTCTAATTAAATCTTGGCTGTGACATATATATGCCCGATAGAAAACAGAATGCATACATACATTTAGTCGAGTATATAGACATTGGTTGAATTTTTATTCGACAAAAAGGAGAAAGGGAAGAAAAAATATTATCATCGGTGGCCATTTTTGGCAGGTAACTTCTTTCAACATGTCTAACTACGTTCTTTAAACGCTGTAGCAAGTGTTTTATGCTTTTACGATCATGATTTTAATGACATTTATTTATTGGTAAAACTTCGACGATTGGGCAGTAATAACATAGTGATGCATTTCTGAGTGTAGCTTTTTACGAGATTTATTTCTGACAAATTAAATCCAAAATATTAAATACATGTAAAATGCTCTGAAGTAAAATCCAGAAGTATGAATAACACTATATCCAATAGACCTAATCAATCCAGCGTCCATATTCTATATTTTATATTTCCTCTTTTCGTACGATTGCTAATTTAACCACGCATTCAAAGTACGCCGCGTATTGTCAGAGTTCCCTATCTGGCTCGTTATCCGCTTGTTGTGTATGTTTGTTGCCGTCAATTTTATTCGTTGTGAAACAATATTAAAAGCCCAGAATTCACAAGACAAACTTGGAAAAGTTCTGTTATACAGCACGAGGTCGCTGTCTAAATAGAAGTCCATACAAAGTTTTTTCCCTAAGAAACGTGGTTATGCTCGATTTATACAACTGTATAAAGAATGCTAGTTGCGTCATGCAAGGTTAGATCTACATATGAGAACGAGCAAATGTGTATTCTCTATTGATATTTTATATAGAAGTACTGTATATAGATGAAACGCAGAAGGTTAAAATAGTCGAAAAATTTAAAATCTCGTTTTTAGCTGGTATAGGAGTTCTAAGCCTGTCCCGGACCAGTAGCCAAAGATTTTTTTTGAACCGTTAAACTGACTTCTTTTTTCTCTATTTAGTAGGCTTGATGGACAAGAACAAGCAAAACGAAATGCTCGACTTTTGAAGTACAAGAAATCAAGCAATTCTTTGCTAAACTACCAGAATACTTTAGCGTATAGAAGTCGTCTGCTCAGATTATAATAGGTAAGTTAAGTTGGAAAGAGCAGCAAAAGTAGGTCAGCGACAAATAGTAAATTGAAACCTTTCTTTATGAGGTTTATGCAGTCCAAAAGAGAATAAAAGGAAAAGTAGACCGTTAAGAAAAGAAAATGTTAGACCCTTTTATTATACAAGAAAGTAAATTTAGAGCAAAAATTAAATGTCATGATAAAAATAATTAAAAGGTAAGAGTATGATGATAGAACTATAAGACAGAACGATGAACAGAAGTTCTGTACGGATCAGGAAATGAAAGATATCTGATTTGTGATCGAAGAGCCATCAGGGTCATTGGTTGTACTTATTCAAATTCTGTAGAGTAGTCACATTTTCCTTCAACATTGAGATCGACTCATTTGTAATGCAGAGTGTTATTAACTGATTGTTTGTCGTTTTCCTAGTTTGATAGACAAATTGGTGATATCAATAACCACACGCCATATTTAAACATAATGGGAATAATGTATCAATAAATTCAAAATGTCTCTGCCATTTTGAACGTGTTATAACAACAATTTGTTTCAACACATTCAGTTGGTTTAATCAATTGTATCTCTCTACCACATGTGCCTCTATCCTATAACATCTACTGTGTCTTCTGACTCATCACAGGGTATACAGGCTTTGGTTAGTACAACGATGGGTGAGCATGTCTGAGCTCAAGGTTATAAGCTGTATGGGTTGAACAGTAAGAGTAAAACACAGGATGAGGAATCTAAAGTTTACTTTTAGATAATTTAGTCCAAATGTAAAATTGATGCTTTGAAAATCATAGTTTTAATGTTCGATTCCAACAATTGTGTTGTACTGGTTTGTGCTTTGCTTTCATTTTTTTCTATCCTAGTCTCTCTATCTCAGCCATGGATAGTATGCTACAAAGTGACAATAATGATGAACATCTCTAGATATTGAACTATGATCCAGCATAAGCCTTTTTGCTGATGTATTGCGTCCCCCTCTCCCCTATGAAAAAAGACGAACATGAAAATGAAAATTTATATTACGGTTTACACGTTATACATGCACATCTGATTAACTTTTCAACAAGAAAAAAAAATGAACAGCTCTACAACAAAGTCATAAAGTTAAATATTATAAAAACGTGTTTCGTATGTTTGAAAAGTCTGCAGTTGAAAAATAATTTAACAAATGCTGAAAATATCTAGTTTAGTTTCTGCTTCAAAAGCCGCAAAAAAGATCAAGTTTCTTTTCTTATTTGTTTATCGCATACATTTATACATCCAGTATACCACTTGTGAACAGTTTTGGATATGCTGGACAACTTTGAGAATTGCGTGAATTTCTGTGTGACAATCTTTTTCCGTGTTATTTTCTATTTTCACTTTATTCATTTTTTTTTAATTGTCTGAAACAAAAAAAGCGTACTTTTATCATTAATTTCAGCTGTACATTTTGAATTTGTCAACTTTTAGCCATTTAGTGGAAGACTTTTGTCGCTTTCTTGCTCTAACTAACTATTATTTTTAATGCTTGAGAAATATTGGATGTGTTTTGAATAAAAACATCTGTGTTATTCATGCACAAGTGCCACTTTAAGAACTCATCTTATTTTGATCTATTATACTGATACTTTTTTTCTAGATTTATTATTATCATCAAAAAAAATCTCTGATTCATCACTGAAATGCCGGATTCAAAATTATACGATATACTGGGAATATCAAGAAATGCAAATGACAATGAAATAAAAAAAGTAAATGTATTCAACATTTATGTCGCATTTACTAACAATTAGTGTTGTTTTGTAGGCTTATCACAAAGCTGCTAAATTACATCATCCAGACAAAAATCCAGCTGATACTGAAAAGGTAAAGAGCGATTCGATAATACTTTAGCTGTTTGATGTATATTTCTCTATTTCTTTGCATTTAAGTTCAAAGAAATTAGTTTTGCCTACGACGTTTTATCAGATCCAACCAAGAAACGTACATACGATATGTACGGATTGGAAGGTTTAAAAGAAGGTGGCGGTGGCGGTGGAGGTAAATGTTTTTTGTTTTTGTTTTTGTTTGTTCAAATATTAAAATTAATCTTTATTCTTTATTTTAGGAAATTTCTCTGATATTTTTAGTTCTTTCTTTGGTGGAGAACATGCTTCGCCGTTCGGAAATATCTTTGGTGGCAACATGTTTTCACACGGTGGTGGCGGACGACAAAACCGAAGACGTCGAGGAGAAGATGTTGGTCATCCATTAAAAGTGACACTCGAACAAATGTATAATGGTGATACAAGAACGCTTGAAATCAGTCGAAAGATCATTTGTAGTCAATGTAATGGGTAAGTAATTTGAAGGTGGAGCAGTAGAAATAAATCTAGAAATTATTGAGTATAACACTGCTACGAAAATTATATCACGATTTTTGTAGCAGTGTAATGGATAAGTATAAAATCTGTTAAAATAGTCCGATTGTAAATGATAGCGTTTCATTTCATTACAACGATCAACCGGTTCGATCTAGCCTATCATTTTTATTTTGATCTGTTTATTTAGAGCTGGCGGACGTGAAGGTGCCAAGCAATCTTGTGCAACATGTCATGGTCATGGTGTGCAGTTTATCACAAGACAAATTGGACCAAATATGATGCAACGTATGCAGCAAGTTTGTAAAGATTGTAGTGGTGAAGGAGAAATAATTAACGAAAAAGATCGCTGTAAAATGTGTAATGGAAAAAAAGTTGTTGATCAAAAGAAAAAATTAGAAATTGTCATTTCACCGGGTAGCAAACATGAACAACAAATAAAATTTCCTGGCGAAAGTGATCAAGCGGTATGATTAAATTGTTTACATGATTGAAATAAACTCAACTATTCAATCATTTGTTTTCCATTTCTATTAGCCTAATATGGATCCTGGAGATGTGATAATCGTTTTGCAACAAGAACCACATGCACAATTTCAACGTAGTGGCGATAATTTAGTTATGAAACATAAAATTAATCTTGTCGAATCATTGTGCGGATTTCAATTTGTAATCACACACTTAGATGGACGAAAAATTGTTTTGAAACATCCACCCAATAATCCTATTGCACCTGGTACGTTTAAAAATATTATTCAATATTAGAAAAGTAGTTATAAACTCTTTTTCTTGTCTATTTTAGATACATATCGGTGTATAAAAAATGAAGGAATGATCAATATGAGAACACGTGAACATGGCGATTTAATTATACAATTTGAAGTTGAATTTCCACATGAAAAATTTCTAACCGATCCAGCAGCACTCAAAGTAAATTGATTTAAATAGAAAAAAAGTTAAAACTAGAAGATTTAATTTTTTATTATTTAAATTTTCTATTTTCGTTATCTTTAGCAACTTGAATCCATTCTTCCACCAAAAACAAAAGTTACAATTCCTGAAGGTGAACATGTTGAAGAAGCTCATATGATCGATTTTCACTCAACAAAATCCGCCCATGAAGGAGGTAATCGTAGTGGACGCGAAGCATATGAAGGTGACTCAGATGATGAAGGAGGTATGCATGGGCCTGGTGTACACACATGTAAGTCTCAATAAGAAAACGAAAACAAGTTATTTGAGGCACCATACGAACGAACAACAACAAGACAATTTTTTTTATTTCATTGCGTTCTTTTCAATTTTTTTCTTCTTCTGTTTGTGTTTCATCCTTAATCCGAAGAGTTCAAACAACATTCCCATTAAAGCAAAAACTACGTCACTTTTATTTGTTTATACTAAATCAGTCCATACAAATCAATGTATAATAATAAATGAATAAAAAAAAGCGTTGCATTTGTTTTTTGCCTGTGCTGCCCATACTATCTTTTGCTTGAACTCGTTTATTATTTTTCTGTGGTCTTTTTTCTCACAATAAAAAACAAAGTCTACAAGTTACCATTCTGTCAGCCATTATGTTCTCGCTTGTTTGTTTTTTATTTGTGTTAAAAAAAAATGAAAAAGTATATATGGCTATCTATCTGCTTTTTGCTCACGATTGAAAAAATAAAGATCATATTAGACAATATATTTAAATAAACGTAGAAAAGCAAACAGAAATTCAACATAGCTTCTTGCTTTGATAACAAATATCGATGGATTATGATGCGAACATTCTGTATTACAAAAGAAATGGATTTATTTTGAGAATTCATTGTACCAATGATTAATAAATTTTTCTAAGAAAAAGAATCTTAATTAAAACATTGAGTAGTAAATCAATCAAAACGGATTAGTTATTTTATTGTTCGTATATTTTTGAAAAACTACCATTATAGGACTACCAAAGTTAAAACTTGAAGTGTAGACTATTTTTAATACGTTTTTACGATTTAAATTTCGTTTTAAAATGATTTTAATCGTTTTTAATTAAGATAAAGATCTATCAACATTTTAAATAGAATTTTAATAAAAATTGATGATTAAACAAACAAAAGAGAGAATTGATAAGAGATATTTTGTCTCTGCTTCTTTTATATTCTTTTCTTTTCATATCAAGGTTGGTTGTTTTAAAGAGTAGAAGAAAGTGGAATAAAATAAAAATGCCTACATTTAACATGTGCGCACGAATAACGTGATTTTCTTTTTGTACTTTCGCTAAGAGTGTAAACTTCTTTCTAGATTCATTCATTCATTCATTCATTCATACGAAAATTTAAAGTGATAATTAATAGCACTAAAAGTATTTTTACTCGATCTTTAGTAATTTTACATACTGATGTGGTTAAAATTGTAATTCTACAGCGCAAACAATAATTAATTTTAGATTGTTACGATTTTTTCTTCTTGATCATGCTAAGTGACAGTGAAGATGTTGAGTTTGGTGATGCAAATCAAAGGTTTGTTTATTTAATTATCTTTTTAATAGATCGGTGGATATTTTACAAAATCAAATCTCAACTTTGATTTAAGTTCATTTTAAATTAGATTTAAGTTAAATAGTTTTGTGAAATATACGTCCGATCCGTATTATTTGTGATATTATATACAATATAGGTTAAGAAAAAACAAAAATTAATCTAAATCTGAACTAAAATATTGTTAAAATAGTACTTGATTTATTTATAGTAAACATTTTCTTCATATCGGATCTATTTTTCTAAATTTACTTTGATTATGGCATATAATTAATTTAGACTATTTGTTTAGTGCAAAAAATTTGGCATCATTATTTCGTGGTGATGCTTCTGGAATAACTCCTGTGACCTATGTAGCACCAAAGCAACCAAAAAAAGGTACTATTACAAAATAAAAAAAATGTTTATTTTACAAATATATTTCATTTTTTATATAGATGCTCCACCAAAAGTGGTTATAGCCCAGGGCGTTACGGCTTATTTATCGTAAGTGTATACTATTGATCAATTTAACTTCTTTTTTTTAAGAATTCTATTATAATAGAGGAGTTGATGGTAAATGGATTCCTCGGGGAAAAATGGGTGTTGCGTTATTATCCACCGAGAATACAATTTATCAAATTATTTTGTATTTGAGTAAAACTCAACAAATAACTACAGCAAGAATTACACCAAATTTTATATTGACCGTAAGTAGGAGTTTATTGTTTAATTTGTCTCTGTTTCTATTTATGTTAATATATTGTTCAAATTTATTTTTGATAGCCTCAAGCCAACAACTATCTTGCATTTCAAGATGATGGTGGTCAACACTGGACAATTATGTTTGATTCAAAATCATTTTTTGTCAATTTTGTCTTACAAGTATCAATAATATTTGATATTTTAAAATACAGATATTTCTAAAAGCTTTTTTTTTATAGGTTATTGTTGCAAAAGCGAATTTGTTAATGTTTAAATTTGATAAAATACTTTATCAAGATCTTAAAGAAGGTGAAGGATCGGTACTAATTGATGGTGATAGTGTTGAAATAAATATGACAGCATATAAATTGGATAATGGAAATTTAACTGAGGTAACATTTTGGTGGGTGATTTAAGGTAGATTTTCGCGACTATAGATTTCTTTTATCGGATAATTTTCATTTTTTTTATAGCCAATAAATAAAACAACAGACAATGATAAACCGCCCCGTTTGAAAATTGGTAAAGCTCAAATTTCAAAGGTAAATTAGAAACATTATTTTTGATATTTACTTGATAAAATTGTTATTTTCTATTCTTAAAAAGGGACTAGACGACACTTTAAAAGGAATGAAAAAAGGTGGTCATCGCTTATCGATTATTCCTCCGTCATCGCAGATTAATTCGGTTATTGTGTACGATATTGAAGTTATTCGGGTAAACAACGTCTATTTGATGTTACAGTAACTCTTTCACTCATATCATCAGTCTCATAACAAATTGATTCTTTTTTTGGAAAATAATAGAATCTTGTTTATTAAAACGTCAATATTCTCTTCTTAGGTTAAACGAGAGAAAGAGATGCATTCAACTTCAGTATCTTCTAATACTCCGTCACAACATGCTGATGATTTACCGTCCATTTCGAATATTGATACACATTCTCGATCTTCTACCTTTGATAATACTGTCTTACCAAATGTTATTGAAAGAAAACGAACATTTACAGATGATGCTCCGTCTGTCATCAGTGTCGAGGTAATAAAGTATACACAATTAGCTTGGCTATAAATTATCGTGCTTCAATTTTGTTAAGACAACAGAAAAAAATAAAATGTTAGAACGTATGGTTAGAATGGGTGGTACGTCTGTTCTTCCGGGTATGAATGCATTTGTTTCTCCCGCAAAAATATCACACGATATTGCTGAAATTGACGATGAATTGATCGAAACACCTACAACTTCAAACATACATCAACAAAAAGTAGGACATGAAGGGAAACGAGTTGTATGTATTTATTAATTATTGATTTCTAATTTTGTCAAGTTTAATCAACAACAACAAATGTTACCACAATTTGTTCCTCCAGTTTACATGTCTTCACAACAACCGCATTATTCTTCGACAGCTAAACAACAAGCACATCCATCAGCATTTGTCGAAACAATATCACCGCATCCTCAACAAACGCATGTCCCCGATTATCAGAGTAGACCTGGTATAAGAGAATAAAAAATCAGTTACAAAAAAACATTAGACCCTTTTTGTATTTTTATTTTTATATAGGTTCAGGAATGAGTAATATGTCAGTTTTTCCAAATCAACTTTATCCATATAACAATCATCAAATGTATAGTTCAGCTGGTACTTTAAAGTTTTTATTTTTCTACTTCACTCATTTACCGATTCAGAATCAATAGGAAATGTTCCACATGACGAATGATTACAGAACAACGATGCTAATGATTGAAATTCTAAATTTTAAGTTTTCATCAGACTATGAATCTCATTTGTTTCTCATATCTTATATAACATGTATTAAATTTTCTTTCTTTAGGTTCACATTCCATTGCACCTATAGACAATTCATATACATCAACAAATTTTATTATTAATGAAACTCGTCATCAAAATGCCGAAATACGTTTATCTTTAAATAAAATTGGTGAAAAAGTTGATTTAATAAACGAAAAGGTAAAGAAAATATAAGTGTAAAAAAAATATATATATGAAGTAAACTTTGATAATTTTAAGAAAATTATTATTTTTATTTTTAATATTTTTATTAGATGGATACTTCTCGTTCTGGTCTATTTTCATCATCTCAAATACATCCTACAATGGAAACAAGTATTTTATTATATAATATTCAGCGTATAGTCAAGGTTTGTTCTAATCTTTTCTAATGTATAATCAAAAAGATTAAAATTTAAAATTAATTCCTTATTTAGGAAAATGAAACAATGAAAAAAGATTTATTTGAACGTAGTTCAAAAATTGAAGATTTAAATCAAAAAATATCAGAATTATTAGAGCGAAATCAAAAGTAAAGACTATACAGATCAATATAATAGATGAATCCATGTGCTTTTATTTATTTTTCTCTACATAATTAAGATTAATTGAGCAAAGTCATCACACTTTAGAACAACGAAATGATGTTGTCAATAATGTTTCAGAACAAACAGCACAAAAAATTCTTGATTTAGAAAAACAAAAAGTATGTATAATAGTCCTTTTGTACAACGATTCTATTTGATAGGATCCATTTTTACAATATCAAAATAGATAAAAATTAATTTTTATCTTTTATTAATATTAAGTTTATCTGTTTTAGGTTGAATTAACAAATAACTTGGCAACATCAACAAGTAGAATATCAGACATTCAATTACAATTGAATCAAAAACAACAAGATTTAAATGAATCAACAAATAAAATTACAACAATGTTAAGAACAATTGATAATCAAAAAGATGAAATACAAAAATTGGATAGTCAACGATCAGGTTTAGTTTTATTTGTTAAAAGATTATTTTTTCGATTTTATTAAATTATAAAAGAAAAATTATTCGTTTTTGTTTGTTTATTTCAGAATTACAAATTAAATATGATTCGTCTCAAGATACTTTAAAAAATGAAAAATTAAGTAAAAAACAATTACAAGCAAAAATAACAAGTTTAGAAGATGAATTAGCTGAAATGAAAGTGTCGTATAACACCATGGAACGGGTATATTTTGTCTCTATATAAAAATTGATTTTATTTTTAAATAATATAGACTGTTGATGTTATTATTTCTAGTCAACATCGGATAGGAAAATAAAACATGAAACAGAACGAAAACGTCTTCAGGATGAAATCGATGAATTAAAAATATTACATGAAAATGAAGTTGAAGATTTGAGAAATAAATTAAGAAGGCAACGAACTGTTGATAGTGTAACAACAACGCAAGAAGTATGTAGATTGTTTATACAGATTAAATTTGATTGATGAACAAAAATTAATTTTGATTATGTGTATTTATGTTGTTAAAAAGGAGAAAAAAAAAATTGGTCGATTTATATTTAGATTTCTCGAATCGAACAAGATCTGATTCGTGAATGGCAAGAAAAATTAGATCGTCAACAAATACAACATGAACGTTCATTGAGTATAAAAACGAAAGAATTGGATGAATTAAAACATCTATTAGAAGAAAATGATGAAAAAGTGAGAGAATATTTTATTATTAAAATGAAATATTTTATGTGATTAACTTATCTTTTGTTTTAGTTTCAAACATCTCATAAAGAAATAACTGAATTAAAAGAACAAGTTGAACTTTATGAAGATAAGGTAAATTGGTCAAGATATATTGAAGACAAATGATGATGATTTTACGCTTTTAGTGTGAAAAACTTCAAGAACGTATGATATTGATGAAAGAAAAATATGTAGAAATGAAGGATGAGCAACAACAAGTAGTCTCTGAACAAGTAGGTTTTAATAAATAAAAAATAATTGCTAAAAATGACACGCTCACCATCTATCTATTCTAGGTAAAACGAATTGTTAATATAATATTTCAAAAAATGAAGTTAAAAATAAAATTAGATAAATCATATACCGGTGAAAACGTTCTCAAACGTTCACTTGACATTATTAAAGTAAGTTAAAGTTTGTAGACTTGAACGAACAATTCGATTTAATCATTTGTTTTTTGAAGAAATCAACAGTAAAATTGTTATCAGGCGAGGATGAAATACAATCATCACCGAGTGAAGAAGAAGAAGAAGAAGAAGAGGAAGAAAACAATCATCAAAATCAACAGTCTGTAAATCAAGAAATAGCACTAACAACACCATTAGACAATACAATGGTAATGATAATGAATGAGAATAATCAAACAAAGGTGAAAACAGATGAGCATCATTTAAATGAAGAAAATGAACAAACTTTATCGCCAAAAAATGGTCAGGTTGATCATACAGTATTGTCTGATGCTATTGAAACTGAATATCAACAAGAACAACCAATAAAAACAGAAACTGCTGAAGAGATTATTAATACAAATGACGAACAACAAACTACAAGTAATTATAATCAAAATGGATGGGATACAGTTGAGGAATTTCAAAAAACTGAAACAACATCATTAGAAAAGGGGATAGAACAAGAAGTAGAAGAATATCAACAACAGCAACAACAACAGCAAAATGAAGTTGGAGATGTAGATATGCAACAAGCTGACGAAAATGGTATATTAACTTTGATGGAAAAATATTTGTTGAAAAAGATATAATAATGAAAAAATATTTAATCTATTTCAGAGTCAATTACCAACAGTGTTGAGGTTGTTCAACCGGTTAGCACTGATGAAACATTATATGATCAGCCTAACACTAATTTGGTTGAGAATACCTTAGCAATAGACAACGAACACAGGGAGGAGGAAAATAATGAACAAAAAACGGATATCGATGAATTGTCAATTCCTCAACAATCTAGTAATGAAAATCGATTAAGTGACAGTGAAGAAGATGTGGATGGTAAACGATCTTAAAGATTATTTTAGTTGATTAATAATGCAAAAAATAATTTTTAGATTCTGAATTATTTTCATCAGCACGTCCGTCTATACAAGATAGTACAGCTGCAAGATCAACACCTATCGACGAATCATTAATAAGAGTTTCTTCCACACAATCACTACCAAATCCTGCATCTCGAACTAGTCTCGTACGTGTTTGGAGTGTATTTACTCATTAATAGTTATCTACATAAATTCGTTTTCTTTTCAGAATCCAGTTGTTGACTCGATTCCACCGATGAACGATGACGATGAAGAGGAGGACGATTTGTTCAAATAACAAGTTAATCATTGAAAAACTTTTTCTAATTTAATTGTGCAATATGTTTTTTTTATACTGATAGTATGTAATGTTTTTCTTCTAGCAGTGTTTCAGTAACAAAGTCTTTCATATTTTTTTATTTATAAATGCGTTTTATTTATTTTTGATTCTAACTGTGTGCGCGTGAGTTCAAAACGGGAATAAAATCATATTTTTCAATAATTGATGTAAACACAGATATTACACGACAAAATGAAGTTCGAACTGCTTATTAAAAAGTCTAATGAATATATAATATTATTTATTTGATGAGAAGTACTTGATTACTTCCCGACTATTTGAGACGTACTGGATAAGTTTTTCATGTGACTGCTATACAATAATAGAGTATGGCTGACAAAATAAAGATAAATGGAAGAAGTACTTGGCCGAAGTTTTTCAAGTCACTCATATTGGATCAGCCAAGCAAGTTTCGAATTTACTTTTCATGTAAATTCGAAGTACTTGTAAGTGAACGTACTTGTAAAAAAACCACCAGGGACTGGCTTTGTTACTTGTACCAAGTACTGTTTCAGGTATAATGGCTTCAATTACATGCACTAGAGGTGTCTGTCCTAGTGAAACTTCTTGTAACCAAAATCTTGGCTTAAATTTTTTCAGTAAGATCTTGCTAAGAAAACGTAAGAAATTCCAAGAATCGAAGATCTTGAATGTCTTAAAATTTGTTGAGTTCTTGTATCCAGATCTTGATAATTCTTGGATCATACTCTATATTCACATTTAGAATAACTTCGAAATTTTCCCTTTATTAAACAAAGCTATTCAAGGATGAACATATGATCACATAAACATTTTGACTGAAGATCTTAGCAACGATCCTAGCTACAAGAAGTTCTACTAATACTTAAACGGTATTTTACTACAAATTGACATCGGTACCTCAAATGCGTACCATGTAGAGACTTATCCAGTATTCAGTACATTCACAAGCATAGGCATCGAATTGTTCTTCAGAACTATGATTAGTTTTCATCGGTACGTATTGCGCTATAATTTTTATTGTGACATATCAGGGTGTGACAACGGATACGATAAGGTTTTTTAGCGCGGAGAAGACGCTTTTTTCTATCGCGCAAGTCCTTATAGGATATGGTAACCGGTAATGGTAATCAGTCAGAACCGGTAACGGTAACCGGTAAGGTGCGATTACCGTTGCATCCCTAACTCACATATAGAAGGAGTAAACGAATCACACCAACTTCTACCATGGTATGTCTCCTTTCCTTTACTTGACTCGAGTAAAACATGTATACACGCGTATATACACGTTTCACCGAAGTCATACATACATATATATGTATATGTCGCAGATATAAATGAAATGTAGGAGAATTTAAAATATTCCTAGGAATAAATAAAATTTGAATATGAACTAGTTCAACTTAAAATTTCACAATTTTTTCACCTGTTTTAAGTTGAATTAGTTCAACATCAAATTTGATTTATCCCTGTAAGAATATTTTAAATATTCCTAGCAAACAAGTTCTGTCATCTGTTTCAACTATTCCTACAGGAATAAATACAATTTTTCTTCTGACTAGTCGAGTAATAGTGAATGCATTTATAAGGCAAGAAAAGAAAGCGTCTTAGCAAAGAGTTGTTGAATAAACATTAACAATGGAGTTGTTTTACGAGAAACTGGATGATCATATATCAAAACTCAATCAAATATTTCGTTCCAAATTTGTTATTAAACGTACAATATACGACGAAGTAATATTAGCATTGCAAGATTGATGGATAATGCACAGTTTTTAAATTCTGGGTTAAGAAATATTTGAAATTAGTTAACATCGACAACAACAGTTGTTTATTTATTAAATCAAACCATTCATTTATCACATACGAGGATCTTTACGATAAAATTAAAGAAATCCACAAAAGACTTGGACATTATGGTCGAGACAAAAGATGGAACAAAGCAAGCTAAAATTCAGTACTTCTTCTCTGACTATAGATTTCTCATGTTAAGGTAAACCTCGTTCTGATGTTAAGGCAAAACCTTGTCTCGACCATAATGTCCAAGTCTTTTGTGGATTTCTTTAATTTTATCGTAAAGATCCTCGTATGTGATAA